CAACCGAGGGCCTTCTGTCCCACTGAACAACAAAATTACAGAAGAGGTCTGGAGTGGTAAGGAAGTTGATCTCTCTTTCTTACGTACCTTTGGTTGTTTGGCTTACGTTTTGAATGACGACCGGACAAAGCTGGATGCTAAGTCCGTCAAATGTACATTCATTAGATATGGGACTGACAAATTTGGGTATAGATTTTGGGATGATCAAAATCGGAAAATTATTCGCATTCGTAATGTGGTGTTCAATGAAGGCATAATGTACAAGGACATGAAGAAATACCCCAACGATGACAAGACCATGCAGGAGTATATTGGTCTCGATATTTTAAATACCGGAATCATGAGACCAGCAGATTCAGTGGGAGCTCAGATAGATGAGATCGAGCATACAGAAGAAGAGGTAGAACAAGAATCGGATGAACCGATTGCTGAGAGCAGCACGCCTCTGGCACTGGGCCGAGAACCGAGGATGAGAAGGGCCCCGGATAGGTACTCCCCTTCTCTTTATTACCTACTTTTATCTGATTCTGGGGAACCCGACTGTTATGCAGAGGCAGTTAAAGATGCCCACAAGAGCAAGTGGGAGCTTGCGATGGACGACGAGATGAACTCGTTGAAGAAGAACCACACATGGGATTTGTGTGATCTCCCAAAAAGAAAGAAGGCTCTTCAAAACAGATGGGTCTATCGGGTCAAGGAGGAATCAAATAGGACGAAGCGATACAAGGCCAGACTTGTAGTGAAGGGATTCCAACAGAGATACGGTATTGACTTTACCGATGTTTTTACACCTGTTGTTAAGTTAACCACTATTCGTCTAGTGCTAAGCATGGTAGCGGCGGAGAATTTGGAGTTGCAACAGTTAGATGTGAAGACGGCCTTTCTGCATGGGGATCTCGAAGAAGAAATTTACATGGTGCAGCCAGAGGGGTATAGAGGAAATGATCAGCAGGTCTGCCGCCTAAAGAAGAGCTTGTACGGACTGAAACAGGCTCCTCGACAGTGGTATCGAAAGTTCGATAATTTCATGCTGGAGATTGGATACTCCAGGTGTAATGCTGATCATTGTTGTTATGTGAAAAGGTTCGGTAACTCTTTCATTATTTTACTGCTATATGTGGATGACATGCTGATAGCAGGATCAGATGTCAATGAGATCGAGAGGCTCAAGGATCAACTGTCAAGGAAATTTGATATGAAGGATCTAGGAGAAGCGAGACAAATACTGGGCATGAA